GTCTGCCCCGGGGAGGGCGCGGGAGAAAGTCCAGGGCGCACAGTTGATGAGTAACTGGAGTGGCCGTTGGGGCCCGGCGTGGCTTCTGTTAATTTTCACCCCCGTGTGCGGCCCAGGGGACCTGGTCAAGTGCGAGGGCCCTTCTGGAGGGAGGCTGCCCGGGAGGTCGCGGAGGGCAGGACCACTGGCTGACCCTCTCTCTCTCTCTCTCTCTGCAGCATTGTCCCAGACATAGCAGTTGGTACCAAGGTAGGCGAGCCCTGGGCTCCGCGGGGCGGGGGACCTCAGCACTGCCCAGTCCCGTTTTAGGGGGATGTGGCTTTGCATGCTGGGCTCCTGTCGGGAGAGGGTTGACAGTTACGCAGAGGGTGGAGGAAATGGCCTCGTGGTGGACTTGTAACCCCGGGGTCTGAGTTATGAGTCAGCAGAGGGGAGGAGTCCTGTCCCCAGGGCTGTGACCTGACTGGTCTCGGGGCCAGGCCACTGCATGGAGGGCCTTGTCTGGGTGGGGAGCTGCTGGCCGGGGCTGCGTCTGTCTGTCTGCTGGGCTCAGTCATGCCCTTGTCAGTGTTTCCCCACAGCCAGCATCTGCTCTGATCTTGGTACAGATAGACCTGTGTTAGGGGCGGGCTAGTAGTAGGATCCCAGACAAGCCCAGACTGCCCTAGTCCGGCTGGCTCTGCTTGGGCCTGAGCTGTGAGTGGCTCCATTCCCGGGGAGCACTCCGGAGTGTAGGTCTGCAGTGGGCATCTGGCTTGGATCCCCTCCCATGACCAAGGTGCAGGCATGGCTGGAGTGTGAGGCCTGCCCAGCTGCAGGCGTGGGGCCTCCACTGCCCATTGTAGGGCCATTTGCCATGGGAACTGTGGTTAGCGTTGTGGGAGCGTGGCCAAGAATGTCACTCTAAGGAAATTCCGGCCAGGGGCCAAGATGCCCTTAACGCTGGCTGGCTGCACCTGAGGCCAGCATGGTGTGACGGGGTGCAGTCTTGGGCCTTCAGGGGGCCTGCCCGGGCATTGGCTCCTGGTCAGAGAAAAAGCTCATACCTGGACACCCAAGGTTAATTGGGTGCCAGGGTCCCTCCTCCTAGGAGAATGAGTGTTCTCAGAGCTCACAAAGGTGATCCTTTGTTGATGTGGTCAGGTGTGGCTCAGTCCTGTCTGTTAGACCCTCCCTTCTTGGTCTCCTTGGATCTGTTCCTGTGGCCACCACTCTGTCAGGAGTGGGGCTGCTGGGGAGTAGGGACCCACCTGGTCTAGTGTGGATGCTGGAGCTAAGCAAAGGAGGGTTAGGAACAGGTGTCCTTGAAAGAACACTTGGCGTGGGTAGAGTTGAGCACTTGGAGCTTGATGGGGCCTGGTCCCCCGGTGAGCACCTGGCATGGGGGACACAGGGCACCAGCCAGCCTGCAGGAAGCAGCTCAGCGTGGTTCTGTCTCTGGTCTTGGTCAGCGTCAGTTGAGGCCCAACTCTGACGAGAAGGGTGTGTCCCACGGGCAGGAGGGCCATGGCAGGTGCACACGCATGCACACCTTTCCCACGTGAAGCAGGGCCGCACACGCCTCTTCTGGGAGGGAGAGCAGAGCGGGTCAGGTTTCCCAGAACGCCTGGAAAATAGGACACGCAGTGGGGCACAAGGGGACATTGTCTGCTGGCTTGAGATGCGATCATGCTCTCTTGAGGGGCTTTTGGATCTAAAGATGGAGTGAGGAGAGCCCCAAGTTGAGTCGTCTCTGGGCCTAACATGTTCTCTGTCTTCCAGCGGGGATCCGAGGAGCTCTTCTCTACCTGTGTCACCAACGGGCCTTTTATCATGAGCAGCTCGGCCTCTGCAGGTGAGCCCAGCTCTGGGCATGGGTGGGGAGCAGGTGGAGGTTTGGGACCAGTCCCACAAAGCCTTCCTTCCCTCAGCCAATGGGAACGACAGCAAGAAGTTCAAGGGGGACAGCAGGAGCTCGGGCGCCCCGTCGCGCGTGGTGCATATCCGCAAGCTGCCCAGTGACGTCACCGAGGGCGAGGTCATCTCCCTGGGGCTGCCCTTTGGAAAGGTCACCAACCTGCTGATGCTGAAGGGGAAGAACCAGG